CCGGGTATTTCCTGTTCAGGTGAAACTCTGTAAGCGCGTGGCAGCTTCTCAGCCTGGGAAGGGTGGGAATACTGGGCTGGAATCAAGTGAAAACAGTGGAGCGGGGAGTTTCGCTTCTTTTGTAGTACCAGTTGAGGTGGATTAACCATGTGAATTGCCTATAGAAAAACATGGGGCATTGGATTAATTAGCCCTGTTAATGGTTAATACACCACGTTTGCTCATGAAGTTGTAAGAATGTGGACATGTTTAAAAGATAACTGTGCAAGTCAGTGACAAGCAGCTCCCGGGTAATAGCTCTGGTTTGCAGTGTGGTTCCCCCCATTGAAAAAAACCCACCTGTTTTTTCTAAGCAAAACCTGAGGAATTATCTTGCATTTCAAAGCTATTGAAGAGTCAAACAAGTTGTGTATGGTGCTGTAGGACTTCTTTTTCTCATGCTAAATATATATGCATACCAGTGTACAGACATATGTATGGTTCCTATGGATGTTGAACTAAAATGCCTTTAAAAACACTTACTGAAGGGGTGTACTGAATCTGTTGCTTATATTCTGGTTAATATGTGTAAGAATTATAAAATACAGCTCTATTTTTTTCAAAGTATTACTGTTTTTTAATATTTTCTGATACTGATTTTTGAGCAGTTCACTAGTGACCTGTGGAGATCCAGCATCTCCTGTGTGTAAAATTCTAAATCATTACAAAAATCTGCCAAGTTCTAGGACTGAATTGAATGAGGTTTTATGCAGAATATAGCAGGTGCTTTTGCAATAATTTACAATCAATTGTTTCATTAAGGTGCAGAGAGGTGGTACCTTAGAATTCTTGGTAACACACTTTTTGTTGCTGTTGTCATGAGTGTTTTTTTCTTAACAAAGGGCAGATAATTTTGTGAGAATGTTCTTATGGAAATTTGCAGGGACACTGTTTGCTCTCATAAATTGGAAATGACAATAATCTTTTCTTGTTTTCCTGTTCTGATAGGGCCCCACAGCCAGTGGTTGCTTTTCCTGCTGGATTCATCATGATAACTCCAGCTTTTGAGCTGACCCAAGATCCGGATTTTCTTACAGTAATAATCAAAGTACCTTATGCCAGAGCTTCAGAGTTTGATGTATATTTTGAAGGGGAAGATTTTAAATTTTATGCCAAGCCCTACTTCCTCAGGCAAGTAGTGGAAGGATTTCAAAGAAATTTAACTTAATAAAATAAATACATGTTAGTAGAAAATGAACTTCATTTCAGTCCCTTCAAAACATTCCTCATCTGCAGCTCTTTTACTGCAGACAGTTCATTTTGTGCAAAGAATTTTTTCTATAGATCTAGCCTCTTTGTTTCTAGGCATTAAATCATGTTGAAGGGAGTTTAAAGAAATACTTTGCAATTAAATATCCATTGTAAATTTAGACAAGTGGCATACATCTCTGGATGTATGCAAGTTGTGTGTAATGAGCATCTCTGTTGAGAACCAAAGGCAGTATATTTTTGGTGAAAACTGAATTTTGATGCACTCAAAATAACAAAAGGGGAGAAAAGTCACCTGAGTGGAGGCAGTAGGGAGTGAGGTTCCAGGATGTCCTCTTGATAGCAAGTTCCTTAGTATCCTGTAGGAAAAAAATGAGACAATCTCAGAGTAAAAATGTTAAGATAACCTTTGGCATGCAAGAGCTGGCAAGCTATTAACCCATCTTATTTTCTGTCTCCTGTATTCTT